AACCCTAAACCCCAAACCCTCTGGCAGCCATGCTTGCTTAAGCCATGTGGCCCAGCGTCATGATTCCAGGCAATCCTCGGCTCAGTGAGCTCAAATGGCTCCTCTAGACTGTGGCACGCAATGATGCTTCCACAGCCTTTGGTAGCTGCGCCGTAGATTTTGCGTGAATCCAGGCAAGTTGCGACAATTCCCGCGTGCGTCGTTGACAAACTCAACCATGGCAGCAATGCCTCCAGCATTTACCTGCCACGTTTGACAAGGCGCGAGCCCTGATCAGATTCCTTCACCCTAGGGTCAGACAGAATCATATAGGTTGCCTGGGAGTATATAGTGCACAGGTGTCATATGGGAGTTATGATGTCAAACACCCAGACTATATCCCCTACATCACATCACTCCTACATCATATAGCCTATCGAACTCCTATAGAACCCTTATAAAGGATTATGATGTCAACCCTAAACCCTACATGATGCCAAAGCCCTAAAAGCAATTCCTTGCAGCTTAGGCACTATGAGCTTGGCCAAGTCGGGAGTATGTCGTGAAAGCTCCCCTGAGAAAAGCTACGACATGCGAATACCCAAATAGGGCTTATTCACAGCAAGCATCCAAACTGCGTGCTGCTGCGAATCTCAATGCCAGGTGAAACAGTTTCGTCCAAGCCGCGAATGCAAGTGGCTGCATTCTTCCGCACCGACCTGGAATGCACGCTCCTACTTAGAGAGAGATGAACAAAACAGTGAACCTGCTGAGTTGCAGTTAAGGAACTTCAAGAAAGAAGCAATACCATGGGTGTATAGAGGATAGTAGGGATTCCTTGTCATCTAATAACCTTAAACCCTAAAACCTATCTACCTTTACTATAGTAACGTGATTGAGCCATTGTCCAAACTCCCAGCATCCCCCTTAATAACCCGTATAGTAATCCCTGCTATAAGCCCCTTATAACTTATAACCCCTGAAAAGAGTTTAGACTATAGCTCAATTCAAGTTCCCTAACAGCCACCCAGGTCGGCTGCGCAACCCTTCAGAGGTGATCTTCCGCATCTTTCTGAGAGACGCCCGGGGATGCATTAGGCTTTGGGGTTCCAGGGGTTTAGAGTTTAGGGTTTAGGGTTTGGGGTTTAGGGTTTAGGGTTTGGGGTTTAGGGTCTAGGGTTTGTGACTTCATGAACCATGATTACAGCTTGGGTCCAACCAATTAACCGTCTATGATAAGGGTCATACTAAGAACCCTATATAATCACAAAATTATTCTTATCCAACTCTCAATGGGTGGGGGCAGTACCCAAGCTACAGCACCTTCAGCTTCAGCCACAGTTGTACCGCATCACAACGATCGCAACCAACAATTTGTTGACAGGTCTCAACTTTGTGATATGCCCCCGGTTTGAATTGTCATCGCGCGTTATCAGATAAAGCCGCTCACCATCACCTACTGGATTCTTGATTATACCCGCTGCCAGCTGAGTAGGTGGATGCAGCAGAATGAGCTTCTCTTTTCGCGTCGGGAGTCATTGAATGCCCTATCTGCCTGCACCCAAATAGGCTTCTATATGCCTTTTTGGAGCCACCCTAAACCCAAAACCCTATTGAAGCCAGCTGCTCGTCCACATCCTTCAAGCAGTGCAAAATCGTAGGGAAGATCTCAGACTCTACGACGACTTCAGCGAGATCCACCTGTAAAGACGGTCTAGGGTTCAGGGCTTAGGCATCACCAGAGTGTGAAAACTGACTTTGAAAAAAGACAAGAAGAAAGAAATCGCGAGAGATCACCTGTTCTTCCAAACCGTTATTTTGGCATTCGAACCCCTATGTGACCTCACTCCATTAACCCAAAACCCTAAAGCTATCCCAAATCAAGGCCAGCTTCTGAATGCTTTGCAATTTGCGACAAGCACGAGCAGACTTGTCGTTTGAGTGGGGCATCGCTGTTCGTCACCTCCTGCGCGGTACCCAGGTCAAGTTTGCACGCGGCGCAGGCACATGGATGTTTGTCTAAAAATGGTTCTTATTGGTATCATGATTTAGGAAACTACCCCATTATGGTTTGTATTGGTATCATAGTTTAGGAAACTACCCCGCATTCCCATTCCACTTGATCCCACTCTCACCCTTCGAAGCTGGGAGATTTGCAAAGGAAGCCGCACACTCGCACTGAAGCCCATTTGATGTTGTCATGAAGTTGCAACGAGGCATGAATCCTCTGAAGACAAACAAAGTGCAGCGGCGCGAGTTAAAGCTAAGCCCAGCAGGATCGCTGACCAACTGTAATACTATAATGCCATACTACTATAATACTATAATAAGACTACAATACCATTAGAGTATAGGACCATAATACTATGATAGCATAATGCCATAATACGATAATACCATAATACTACGATACAGCCAGAAGTTTGGTCCCTCACTCCCAGCACCCAGCTCGGTGATAATCAACGGCTCCTTTGTGAGCAGCGTCACAGCACCGGCGTCTACCACAACCTGCATATTGCTGTCAGGCATCAAACTCAGCTCCCTGGACCGCCTACTAAACCTTTTTTGATGCATCTCGACTCTCGCAGGCTCTGCCATGTTGAAGGGCATTCCATCATCTAGCGCTGCGGTCTGAAACACTGAAACTGCTCCCTAAACCTTAAACCTTAAACCTTAAACCCTAAACCAAAAACCCTAGACCCTACCAAGAAGTGGTCCCGAAGCAATCCCCACCTGAGCGAGCTCCGGGCTATGCTTCGAGATGTCGCTGAGCGCCTCTGTCCCATCGCTATGTCAAGATATTGAGGGGCTACACGAGGGTTATATGGGGATTATATCGCGGTTACAGAGGCCACTAGGTGCCTTAGAGGGGTTCTTAAGGGTTATCTAGGTCATGTAGGGGCCAAAGGAAATACAAGGGCTACGTAGGGGGTACGCAGGGGCTATTAAGGGCTTACACAGAGGTTATAGAGGTCACTAGGAAGTACATAAGGGTGATGTAGGGGATACGTAATGCATTTGGGTTCTAGGCAGGAGTCATGTCGGGATTATTTTGGGTCAAATAGGGTCATATAGGGATTCTGAGTGATCTACAGAACTCAAAAAGGGGCTATGATGCCAGAGCCGTCAACTCAAAACCCTAAACCACTGATTCTGATGTCAAAACCCAAAGCTGCATTTCATCTGCCGACGAGACACAGAGGCTGTAATGCGCTTCAACGTCAGGTCTGGCTCCTCCATGAAGTTGTGCGTACATGAATACATAGAAATGTTTATGTGCATACATGCACATTATGTGCGTATATTTATATATGTGTGTGTAAGTGTTTATGTGCATATGTATGTATGTATGTATGTAGGTAGGTAGGTAGGTAGGTATGTACGTATGTATGTACGTATGTATGAACGTATGTATGAACGTGTGTATGCACGTATGTATGCACGTATGTATGTACGTATGTACAGATATATATATATATACATACATATGTATATATATATATATGTGTGTGTTGGTGTGGGTGTGTACGAGTGTATGTATATGAAGAAGTATACGTATATGCCTATGTAAAGTATATGTATATGTAGATGTGCATGAATGAATTTGTATGTGTAAGCATACATGAACGTATGTGTGTGTATGTCTATGTGTACGTATGTAAACGTCTATGCCTACGTATATGTAGAAGCATGTGTATCTGTAAATGTACATGTGTTCATGTAAATGTACATGTGTTTCAATGTATGTATGCATGGATAGATGGATGGATGGGCGGGTGTATATATGGATGGATGTATGAATGCATCTCTATGTTTAGGGTCATAAGAGAATTCTGTAAGCAAGGTTTTACGAAGCTTGTATGAGCTGTAATCAATATTTGCTACTTTTTTTTTCGCATCGCATGGGTTCCTTATGAGAGGCTACATTTCGGACTATACTAAACTACAAGAGGGACCCCATAATTTCCCTTGATAGGGCTGACTTGATAAGGCTGATATTAACCGTAGCTCATATAGGGACGGTTATATGGGTAGTTACCAAAATAAAGGTTCCAGTTGGGTAACCCCACATATAAGGTGCCGTAGTATAATATCATATATATATGCATACATACCCAAAAAAGGGCCCATAATTTTGAGAACAACCCATACGAATAGCGTTTTTTGGTGGTTGAACCCAGTAAGATGATATTCCTTATATAATATACTATACCCCAAAAGGAGGATATAATCTTACTCTATATTGGGTACCATAGTATTATTCACGGACATCAGTCGGTCATGCGAATCAGGCGTTTTTTTTTTCCCTCCCGCTTGGCGAATCAGGCGTTGAGCACTTTGGCTCGTCCAATAACTAATCTAGAATAGGGTTAGAGGCGGCAGATAATGGTAGAAAGTTTGTCCATGATGGCCTGGCATGTTGTGAGCTTTTCTTGCAGCACCTGCTTAGGGTACCATAGTATCCTCAAATGACATAATACTCATATGTATATACATACATACCCAAAAAGGGGTCCATAATTT